CATACGAGAGAATGTTTTGCATGTATGCTTCATATAAGAATTTAATACTGTTTTTTTTTTATTATTAATATTGGAGGTACAATCTCCCAAAGGAATTCAACACATCATTATTTCTTTTACATCAGGGATTTTTTAGATCCCGTGTTGTTGGTATTGATTAGACGTAGTTATGAACAACAGTAATGAGTCGATGTTTTAAACTTTTTGGAGTAGATGATAAATCTCTTGGTGATTTTTAAGATCGCTGAGCGATATGTATCAGCTAATTACATTTTAATTGCTTTTTCATCCTGGTTATTATATATTTATAATTTGGAAGCATCTGGTTACGACAGAGTGTGTTTATTTTTGTTTGCATCAGAGAGGGGTCTTGCGTCATTTTTTTTCTAAATTTCGTTAAGGCTAAATTTATTTGTTTATTGACGACGTGGTTAGGGAAGTTATTATTGATTACAGCTTGTTTATTCTTGCTTAATTCCTTATATAATAATGTGTCTAACGAAGGGCCCTGTAAATCATGTTTTTATAACAGCTCTCGGATTGAGGAATCGGTGAGCCGGGTTCAAATTCCAGTCGAAACTATTATTTTCACTTACGTGCTAATACCATTAGGAAAGGTATAAATCCTCTTCTTCTCCTCCCAGCTACGGGTAAATAGCAGGACAGACCGGGTTCTATAGCCTTGGATGGCATCTGGTCTACCGCAGAAAGAAATGGCAACCTACTGCAGGAAACAATCTGCCTCGTCAGTCATGTATCGAAAGATACATGATCGCCTAAGCGTGTATCACGCATGGCACATAATTGACTGGCATTCACTTTTGTAGTTCAGTAGGCACGAGTTTGTTTTTGTTTTTTTGTTTGTTTGTTTTTTTTTTATAAAGAGCGGTGGTAAAATTACGGTTGTTGGCATTGACTAAGACGTCAAGGAAAGAGATTTTATTATTAATATTGAGTTCTTATGTACTCAGAGTTTTCAGTCTTTATTTCATCAATTTTTTGTTTTGCTAATATGAAGATGTCGATATAACGAACATATATGTTGGAGCTTGGCAGAATTATTGAAAACTTTGTTTTCTACATGTTTCATTTAGAAGTTACATAGATTGGTCCGAGAGGTGAACCCATCGTTGCGCCTTCAGTTTGTGTGTAAACGTTGCTATATTCGTTGTAAAAAGTACTTGTGTCACGAAAGATAGAAATTTAGGCAGAATATTTGGTATAATTTTAGAAGGTGGGAACAAGAGGTGATTTATACGTTATGTGAGACAATGTCTATTGTTTCTTTGACTGGGACATTAATGGATAAGCTTTCAATATTTAACAAGGCTAGGATGCTGTTATTGGGTTCATTAGACTGTTATCTATCAAGGTATTCATTCGTGGAGTTAATGTTATACTTACTAGGTAAGTATGTTAGTGTTGGATGGTTTAAGAGTCTTTGCTAATTGATATACGAGGGTTGGTAATTGTGAGATTATGGGATATTAGGTTTGTGTGTTTTTACCTTCCAGTATAGGTAACCAGGGTAATACACAACAAAAATTTTGTGACGTTTGGGGGATCCGATCTCTGCGTCGTTAACATTAATCAGTTTATTGATCTGTGCCTTGTGGAGGCTAATGGCGTTTTTGTTTATTTTTTTTAAAATTTGTCTTTGTTGTTGAGAATGGAGTCAAGTATTTCTTTTTTATTGTAGTCAAGACCGAGGATAGAATAAGTGTTGGATTTTCCCGAATGCTGATGTTTTTATTGTTTTAGTTTCATTAATATATATAATACATAATATAGTTAAATTCCCAGATGAATTCTGTGGACAAGACAGATTGGTATCAAATAACAATTGGAAAAAAATCTTCCATTTTATTTTAAAATCGAAATGTTTTTGTTGTTATATAACAACAAAAACATTTCGATTTTATTTTTGCCTTGAAAAAGTTGGAAGACGAAACGCGTCGGCAAAATGTAAAATTTTTTCCAATTGCAATTTGATACCATATATATATATATATATATATATATATATATATATATATATTAGTGAATATACATAATATCACGACTCGGAGTTCCATGCAGTAGGTGCAATATAAATATATATATATATATATATATATATATATATATATATATAGAGAGAGAGAGAGAGAGAGAGAGATCTGTCTCATAATATTGAACACTGTATTTATAGCACCCGTGGAAGAAATATATTTAGACATACGTACAATTTTTCGTGCGTGTATGTATATTTTTATATATATATATATATATATATATATATATATATATATATATATATATATATATAATTGATAACAGAAGCCATTGGTTTATACCAACGGCTTCCCATACTTGACATTACGAGCTGCGACGCGATTTTCCTTCCGCGTCTCGTGCACACAAGTTTGTCGTTGCTTTGAAATTATTCATGCAACAAAAACAGACTATCATTATTGTTTCGTCCGTGTATTGGTTGATATATTAAAATGTAATTGTCATCTTTGATAGTGGCTTATGTAAGCCGAAAGCTTAGATTGGATTTAAAGATGTATCAATATGGTGATTTCCTTTTGTCTTTCAATGATAATGCTATTAAGCTTATCAGACAATATGAAAGGAACTTACTTAAAATAAATAGACAAAACTTGTCTATATTATTTAATGAAAGATACATCAATATATATATATATATATATATGTATGTATAAATATATATATATATATATATGTATGTATAAATATATATATATATATATATATATATAGAGAGAGAGAGAGAGATAGATAGATAGATAGATAGATAGATCTGTCTCATAATATTGAATACTGTATTTATAACACCCGTGAAAGAAATATATTTATACATGCATACAATTTTTCGTGCGTCTATATATATATATATATATATATATATATATATATATATATATATATAGGAGCGATGGGTAAATTGTCGCCATTTTCTACTTTTAATTTCGAGCATGCGCGTTGTTTTGTTTTTTTTTTTATTTTGCCGATTGCAATGAATAGTAGGGTCATTAGGGCACCGTCTGGGAGAAAAAAAAACCCATGACACAATTCACTCCGCCAGAAATTTGAAAATGTCATGATTTGTTGCTTGGCATTCGCCCCGGAAGCTCTAATACGAACATTCCAGAGTGTTTGGGTGTCAATTTGAAGACAGGGCAGAGGATTCGGAAAGATTTGAATGAGTCTAATGATGATTACGAAGTTGTTTAGAGTGCTTACTAGTGTTGGTGACGTTATGTCTTTAATCAACTTCCCACAGGGCTTCAGACCTAACACGGAGACCTACATCAAATGCTTTGAGGCGGCAGTGCTGCACTGGGTCAATCGAGCGGTCGCTGGAAGACCTTATGGCTGACAACAGGACTCTCCACCAGAGCACACTAGCAGGGGAACCCAGTCATGGCTGTCAGAAAATTTCTGCCAACACACCACCCATTACACTTGGCTATCTAACTCCCCAGACAGCAACCCCCTTGATTACTATGTGTGTGGCGCAGTTGAGCGTGAGACCTACAAAACACCTTGTAAAACCAAATATGAACGGGAAGGCAAGGATTATGACAGCCTTCACCAACTTAAACAAAGACAGCGTTCAGAAGAGTTGCAGGAGATTCCGAGTTCCTCTGGAGGCCAATGGCGAGTTCCTCTGGAGGCCAATGGCGAGTTCCTCTGAAGCCAATGGCGATTTTATTGAATAAATTTACTCTTTAATATTTCAAGATTTTTTTAATGTAATTTTAGTAAATATATTTGTTAAAACGATATATCAGTGTTATTTTCATCGTTGCGCAATTCAGACGACAATTTATCCATCGCACGCGGTATGTATGTGTGTGTGCGCGTGTGTGTGTAAATTTAAAAATTTTAATTAAAAATTTCAGTGTCCCCTCTCCTTTATGCGCATGTGTAATTACGTAATCAACGTAAATAACCCTGCAGTCAGATGAAGTCCTAAAGGACAAAATGCGTCACACGAAAAATGTTTTCCTAAAATATATATAGAGACAGATAGATAGATATACAGAATTAATACAAATATATAGGAACGCTCATAAATATTCATCAGGTTAACTGAAAAGTCAGGCAAGTTATGGAGGACATGAAGTGATACAATTCAATGTCTAGAGAACAAAAGTGAATAAGTGTTGTTTTTTTTTTAATATGCAAATTAGTATTTAAATTATTTTACTTTGAGATTAATTTACATGTTATATATTTTGAATAACATAAGGTAATGAACAACCATTTTCTTTTAATTTTTTAACATTTTTCTAGCCATGCATTCTGGCTTGGGAAAGGAGTAATTCTTTCAGGAATGGAGATATTTGAAAAAAAAATCTACGGCGCAGATTTATAATTTGATAACATTCAATAGCAGCATTCTCGAGAATTTACTTTCTCTTTTAATAAGTGTGATCAAAGTTGTGTTGGAATTTATTTCTATGTATGACTAATGCATTTGATAAATTATTGTGTATAAGATCCCTTTTATGTTCATATAATTTTTTTTGTTTTTTGTTAATTTCTGGAAGTTTCGCCAATATATTGCGAGGAACAGTTTTGACAATTTATTTTTAATATACTTGCCTCAGAATTATTATTGTTGTAGGTATTTTGGGTTTCTGATCATCTCCATAATGGTTTTCGGTGCAGTTGTAAGTGATTTAGTTTTGTTTATGTTGTTGTTTATGCATATGACTTGCTTTTTCTACTACTACAAATTATCGGGTTATTCATTCTACGATCTTCTACTTTTTATGGAGTTATGTCTCTAGTTAAGGAAAAATAAATCAAATTTTGCTCTTTCTATACGGATTAGACACCTGAAGATGGTTGTGAAACGAGTCAGCCGAAAAGTTGTGGTAGCAAAAAAAGCAATAAAAACTCGATAAATAATTCAACACTTGGATTCATAAGAACACGTTTCAAAATTTTAAGTGCGTATAATAATTTTATTCCTATTTCTTAAAATGGACAAAACGAAATCGAACAATGAAGCAGGTGTGATGCTGAATATTAGATTTTGCTTCTCGGGAAATTTATTTTTGCGTTTTACTTCGACTTATTAATCGGCTTCTTACGATATTTTTGTTATCATTTTCATATTGCGAAATTAAAATAATATCTTATTTTCAGTAATTATTTTTATATTTTATCTTCATGTTTTTTTTTCTTTCCTTCTTATTTCTTCTTTAAAAACATATTTTCCTTCTCAGTTTTTTTTACCTCTTTTCTTTCCTTCTTTCTTTCTCTCTAATATTTTTAATTTCAGTCTTTCTTTCCTTCTTTCTTTCTTTCTCTCTTTCTTTCTCTCTAATATTTTTAATTTCAGTCTTTCTTTCCTTCTTTCTTTCTTTCTCTCTTTCTTTCTTTCTAATATTTTTAATTTCAGTTTTTCTTTCCTTCTTTCTTTCTTTCTCTCTTTCTTTCTTTCTAATATTTTTAATTTCAGTTTTTCTTTCCTTCTTTCTTTCTTTCTTTCTTTCTAATATTTTTAATTTCAGTCTTTCTTTCCTTCTTTCTTTCTTTCTTTCTTTCTAATATTTTTAATTTCAGTTTTTCTTTCCTTCTTTCTTTCTCTCTTTCTTTCTTTCTTTCTAATATTTTTAATTTCAGTCTTTCTTTCCTTCTTTCTCTCTTTCTTTCTTTCTTTCTAATATTTTTAATTTCAGTTTTTCTTTCCTTCTTTCTTTCTTTCTTTCTAATATTTTTAATTTCAGTTTTTCTTTCCTTCTTTCTCTCTTTCTAATATTTTTAATTTCAGTTTTTCTTTCATTCTTTCTTTCTTTCTTTCTTTCTCTCTTTCTTTCTAATATTTTTAATTTCAGTTTTTCTTTCCTTCTTTCTTTCTTTCTTTCTTTCTTTCTTTCTCTCTTTCTTTCTTTCTAATATTTTTAATTTCAGTTTTTCTTTCCTTCTTTCTTTCTTTCTTTCTTTCTTTCTCTCTTTCTAATATTTTTAATTTCAGTTTTTCTTTCTTTCTCTCTTTCTTTCTTTCTAATATTTTTAATTTCAGTTTTTCTTTCATTCTTTTATTCTAATATTTTTAATTTCAGTTTTTCTTTCCTTCTTTCTTTCTTTCCTTCTTTCTTTCTTTTCTTGTTTTACTTGAACTCTGAATTTTTCTTTATTTCTTGTTTTTAGTTTCACCTTTTTTCTATCTTTCTTTCTTTCTTTCTTTCTTTCTTTCTTTCTTTCTTTCTTTCTTTCTTTGTCTTCCTTTATTTCTTTCCAAATAATTGTCATTAAAATAATTTTATCCATTTTTCTTTCAGTTTCCCATCCATTTTAATAATTTTTTCCCATTAAAATTGAAACAAATATCTTTGTATATATAAAAAACAAATGATAAATTTTTAAAATTGCAAAATTTTTAAAATGCCTAAAACATTAACATATTCCAGTCATCCCAAGTAATTATTGTAAAAAGAAGGTAAATATTACTTATTTCAATAAAATAAAAACACAATTTTATTACTTTTTATTTTACTTTCAATTTTATTTTTTATATTTTTGTTATATTTTTATTATAATTTTATTTTTTATATTTTTATTTTATTTTTTATTCTACTTTTAATTTTTTTTTTTTAGATTTTTATTTTTTTTAGATTTTTTATTTTACTTTTTTATTTTGCTTTTAATTTTATTTTTATTTTTTCGTCATATTTATTTGTTCTTTTGTCTTCAATAACTGAGATTTTTTTTTTCTCCTTGTAGTAAATTTCTTGATAGTCATTTTATTTCCACTTTAGCCGTTACGCTTTTAGAAATATAGGGAAAAATCAAATATTCACATGAAAACATGTAGTATTTTTAATTGTGTGCTTTTTTTTTTTTTTTTAAAGAAATATATTTTATGCTAAGAGTAAAAACTATATATGGCCTTAACCAACAAATTTAACGCGATAAACTACTGGCTTCAAGCGGCTTTTATTTTTATTTTCCCGCTTTTATTTTTATTTTCCCGCTTTTATTTCTTTATCATACGCACTTCTGAATAATTAAAAGAAAGAAGAAAAAAGAATACATTATAAATAATTAAAAATAAATAAATAAATAAAAAAACAAAAATAAAACACGCCGTGTGATAAATTAGAGAGCTATATCTTATTATACAAAAGTACAAAACACGAGAGACCGAGGATTTTATCATCTGAACTTTTGGTATAGACAAAAAATAATAATAAAAATAAAAAAAAAAAAGAAAAAAAAGAAAAAGAAAGAAAAACAGGAGAACTTCAATTACTTTTTCTTTCCTATTTTTTTTTTTTTTGTTGTTGTTTTCATTTGTATAAACAAAAGGGTGCATCATATACGCAGAAAATGCAGTAAAATTTAAAACAATGCATCTGTATTTTTAAATTCATTTGAAACTACTTGACTGCTTCAATTTAAATATTATTATTATTATTATTATTATTATTATTATTATTAACCATCAACCATTTTTAATAAGTTAAGCAGGTGATT